AAAAAAAGGTTAGTATAAATTGTTTAAAATTTATACCCAACAGAACAGATTTAAACTAAACTGAATCTTCTTGGCTTTCATTGAAACATACATTAATAAATGGTGAGTTAACGGCAGGAAGTTATCCAGTCTGTGAATATTCCTTTTGCTTGGCAAAAACCCAGCCGTATGTCCCGGAGACCTTGGTTTCTTCTTTTGATGTGGTGATGCTCATAAGAGTTAATACATGAGTCATTCCTTGGGGAAAGACAGGGAGAAGGGCTTTCATGCCCTCATCAAACAAAAGGCAAACAGACCTTTTCTAAGAAGGGCTTGTTGGTCTTCCTGAAAGAGTCCTGAGTCATTGCATGCTTATAGCTATAGTTATTATACCTTTAGAGAGCAATATCAAATCATACCAGAACCTTAACTTTTGGCAATTTCTTCCTTTTTTGCCTTAAAAGAGGAATAGACAGGTGAGCAATGAAGCAATAATTAGAAGTCAAGGAGAAAAGATAGTGAAGAAGTTGGTTTACAATTTTAAAAAAAGAATTATTCCAACTCATGGCATTAACAATTATTATAGTATTTCACTTACTGAAACTAAATCCGTATTTAGTTTCAGTCCATATCCATGAAGTTTCCCATATAACATTTACTTTCAGCAATAGCCAAGAGTCAGAAAGCATCAGAAATGTCTATACCTAAGGAAAAAACAGCTTTAAAACAGCACAGAATACTATGAAGTATTTGTTCATTAAAGGAATTGGGGTACCATATACAGAAGTGTTTATGTGACAAAGCAATCAAGATGTCAGATTTTTTAAATGTACAATTTTTACCACACATTATAGTGATGAAATAAACCCAAACTTTAAAGCAGAAACAAGCCTCTGACTCTTACACAGAGGCAAATACCTCACACCTTTCTTTCTTTGTATAACAAAAAGCCAAGTATTTTTTCTCTAAAAATGGTCATATGAAAAAATGGCTCTAAATATTCAAAGGATAACACCTTGATGTTATAGCTTATAATAAAACTTGATCTATTCTACAATATAATTGAATAGTTCTGAACTTTTCTACTTCCAAACTGCTTCTAGAAAAGACAACCCTAATGCTTAAAACATGCAAAAATCCCTCCTATTTTAATCCTCAATGTGAGGAAGTCCCATGGTTAAAATATATGGCCAAGAGAAAAATTGTAAAATATAGTCAGCCTTCTATTTATAGCTAAATATTTGGGTATCTTTTGAAACTATAAAATTCTGATAGTTTTCTTCTCTTTACAGTTCTTTGTGTAGAAGCTAGGTTTATTTGAAAGGAATAGAAGGCTTCCTTTGTCCAGTAAACTGCTCCACCTAGTGTCAAAAGCTGTACATATATCACATTCTATAGGACTACATTGTAACTGGTGAACTCATTCTCTTTGTTATTGTTAAATAAAACAGACTTTATAAATCATTAATGGCACATTCAATTTACAAATGGCTCTTTAATCATCTTCTTGTAACCTGATGAATCATCATGTACATACACATAAGGAGTACGTCTAGGATACATTTTTCTTTATGAAGTACCAAAGTTCCTATTTTTGTAAGCTCGATTGTTTATAGAATTATGAATCATATTTCTGTTAACGAGAAATAACTACAAGGTGGCTACTGTAATAACCCCATCAGTTCTCCCAAATGTTTATAACATCCAAATGTTTTTTAAAAATAAATTTTATTGTGCACATTTGAGGTTTGTAACATGATGTTACAGGACAAATATAGACAGCAAAATGGTTCCTGTAGTGAGGCAAATTAATATATCTATCAACTTACATAGTTACTTTTCTTTGATAAGAACAGCTAAAATCTACTTATTGAAAAAAAATCCCTAATCCAATACAATTTGACTACTATAGTTCTCATGTTACACTTTAGATCTCTAGCCTTGTTCATCCTGCATACAGCATCTCAACTTAATATATGTTATTTATTTCTTAAAATGGTGCAAAGTTGTAAAAACTGGAAAACAGTAACTGAACATAACAATGGTTACATGAAATTGGAACCAAATCTTACTATGATCAGGCAGCTCATTTAGAAGAAATTCTTCTGCTTTTCTCTTCATGAAAATATATTTCTTTTTCCCTTATGGTTTTCTATACAACTCAAGCACATGCACAACTATATTTTTCCCAAATAATCATGTTAAGCTTAATATTTCTTGACCAGGAAGAAAGAAATGATAGTAATTATTTGGCTAACAGATGAATCAAATGCATAAAGCATTGTGTAAAAGTCCTTAGGAGATGGCTAAGCTCATTAAGGCTCCCAGGCTCAAGATGCTTCTTCTGGTGTAACTACTGTCAGTGAGTTAGAGCAGGGGTTAACTACAAAGTGCAGCCTGCTACGTGTTTTTGCAAATATAAAATTGTATTGGTAAACAGCTACATTCATTCATTACATGCTATCTATGGCTACTTTTTCATTACAATGACAGATCTGAGTAATTGCACAGACACTGTATGGCTGGCCCACAATGGTGAAATAGCTACTATCTGGCACTTTATAGAAAAAGTATGCTCCCTAGCTGCGGGTTAGACCATTATTGAGGTAGAAATTTTGGCTCAAACAAACAAGCTGCATCAAGATGCACCAAAGAAGTCACAGCAGCTATGTTTCCTCTGTGCAAACATTAACTTAATGTTTTTACTGTGGGTATAATTACCACTACCTTAGAGAGTAAATAAGCATTCTTGAATCACTCGTACCAAATATTCTAAAAGGAAACCTGTTGCATGCCTGCTAAGACTAAAATAAATCTGTCAATGAATTTCTGGGAATTAATATCCAATACATGAGTTCTTAGAAGATGCTATCTTCAAAAAATCTGCCAGGCACAGAAGCGTTTTTATACTTGATCTATGTATAAACACATGAATAAAATCAATGAATGAAATCAGTAACTTACACTACTTGCCAGGCAAAATTTGCTCAAGATAGATCTCAAAAGAAGCCAGGCACAGTGGCTCACGCCTGTAATCTTAGCACTTTGGCAGGCTGAGGCAGGAGGATTGTTTGAGGCCAGGAGTTCAAGACCAGCCTGGGCAACATTGTGAGACTCTGTCTCTAAAAAAAAAAAAAAAAAAATTAGTTGGGCACTGTGGCATGTGCCTATAGTCCTAGCTACTCAAGAGGCTGGGGCAAGAGGATTGTTTCACTTAAGCCAAGGAGTTCAAGGCTGCAGTGAGCTACGACTGTGCCACCGTACTCTAGCCCTGGCGACAGAGTAAGACTCTGTCTCCAACAAACAAACAAAAAACCCCAAAAAATCAATTGTGGGTAATGTTCCTTTTAACTTGTTAAGAATTGCCAAAATATATAAATTGAAAATGATTGCTTTTAAAAAATAAATCAGATTAAGAATAGTGATAATGCTAATTATAACAGCAGCAATCACTTACTGAGCAACTTACATTTGCTAGGCACCGAGCAGAAAATTATACGAGTTATTTCATTTTAATCCTCTAAACAGCTTAATGAGATTGGTACTATCATTATCATCTCATTTAGAGTTGAATAAACAGGTTTAAAATTAACCAATTTGCCCAATATCACACAGCTCAGTTTAATCATTTGTATATATATTCTCAAATACTGAAGAAAAGGGCAGAACTAAAGTTAGTAAGTTTGGCATTATACCTGACTATGTCCTGCATGTAAATATGTATGTCACAATGAAAAGAAAGGCTGACTGATAACTGTTAAACTAATTAATAAATGTAGGAAATCATTAAGAAAAAAATCATTTTCACCTATATGCATTAAGTGGTATTAGGTAAGCATAAATACAGATAATTAACATAATATGTCTCCAAGTTGAGTAGAGCCATTTGATGGCTTGGTTTTTGGGTGATGTTGCTCTACATACATATATTTATATAGAACAGAACCTGCAAATAAAATATAGTATATGCTGTATTAGCAATGCCTGCCACCTAGTGGCAGCCAAGTATCGACATGCTTAGAAAAAAAGTTCTAGTATGTTTTTTAATTTTTTATGGAGTTTGGAGAATCTGATGAATACTATAGATCTTTACTTGCCAGAAGAAAAAAAATTCTTATTTGCAAGGACACACAACAACTATAGTTTTTTGGGGGAATTAACAAGCCTCCTGAGGCCCATTTTTTGACCATTAAAATTAATAGAATTAACCAACTAACCTAGCAGTCCAACTAACTCCCCTTAAGCCATGGGAAAAAGGAAGCCATTCACTTTCCCTTCATCTCTTCCTTTCTGGGTAGCAACCACTATTCTTGCATAAACAGTATTTAACTTCTCCTTTTTGGCTAGATATTTAGTCTCTGAAAACTGCTAGATTTACACTGTACTCAAATCAAGTTATTAAATTTGATGGTAGCCTAAACTGTCATTTTTCCCTGCTGATTTTCATTAAATTTAACACTGATCAAACAAATACTAACTTTTACTAGTGATGTTTAAAGAAATGATGATGACTTCCAGACATCTGAATTTCAAGTTATGACCTTTCAATTATATCTAAAAATATAAATAAAATTGTTTATTGATAAACTTAAACATCAAGGCAAATTTTCTATCTGAAAGTCAAATACACAGGTATCTAATATTTTAGGAATTATAATAAGTCTTTTAGATGACTTTTTTTTTTTAAAGAGACAGTCTTCTCTGTCACCCAAGCTGGAGTGCAGTGGCACAATAACAGCTTAAACTCCTGGGCTCAAGCCATCCTCCCCACCTCAACCTTCTGAGGAGCTAGGACTAGACGTGTACGACCAGGCCCAGCCAATTTTTAAAATTTTTTGTAGACATGGGGGTCTCACTATGTTGCCCAGGATGGTCTCGAACTCCTGGCCTTAAGGGATTCTCCTGCCTCAGCCCCCCAAAGTGCTGTGATTACACACGTGAGCCACTGTGCCCAGGTGAGATGACCATTTAGTATACAATCAATTATAATTAACTTTTTATTGAAAGAAAATTATTCTTACCAGATAAAGCAGAAAGGTGTGCAGCCCCGTTCCAAGCCCAACAGAAGACAAAATTCCTAAGCCTATCCAGTAGGCATACAAAAGAAACTGTTTCTCTATACGTTGCACATACTGAAAAACAAAAGGGATGAGATGAAAAATGTGAATTCTTTATAAGAAATGTGGTATTTGTAAACTAACATTAAAATTAAATAAACCAACTAAAATAAGTTTCAAATAGGAAGAAAGATTAAAAAATCCTTGAAGAGGCTTAATTTCTTTAATATGCAACAGCAGAGACAACAAAAAATTCATCTAACTGGAATAAAGCTCGTTTCTAAACCTTTGAAGTTCTACTATTTACAGGACAAATAAAAATAAAAAATAAAAAAATAAAAATTAACTCTCAAATTAGGATAAGAGGCCTATCTGTTTGGATGGATCACAAAAGTATGTTATAGAAAATATGAAAATGTTCGCAGTAATTAAAGGATTCATGCTGCTTTGACTGATCATCTTCAAGAAACTTACATTTAAATCTTTGACGGTAAAAAGGAACCATATATTAATATATCGAACACAAATGCTGAGCAGCCATGAGTTAACACCACAAAAATATTTTTAGTGTATGCCCTTAAAAGTAAGATATTGATTGAGATATCAGTTATGAAATAATGTTTAGGGTAGAAATTCTATAAAACCCATATTAGTCCCATTTTGAAACTGGGATTAGAGAATGTACAAGACTAGAAACAGAATTGCTGAATCAAGTCTTACCTGTTGATGTGCTCCTTCAACATAATACGTAGCTATAAGCACAGCAAGCAGTAGTAAAAAAGACACCACAATGCTTTGACGATGCCATAATCTTAAAGACAAATTAAAAAAAAAAAGAAATATCTCACAGTCTCACTTTTAGGATTCATTATTCTCAAAACAATTTCTTGTTGAAGCAGTTAGGTAATCTAGCTCAGCTACAGAATCAATCTTTCTGAGCTAAGCTCTTTTGTGCTTAAACACTATGTCCTCTTGTGGGTGCAGGAGCGGGTCAAAGGAAGATACATGGACACAGAACCCAATTTCTTACCATAAACACTGAAGCCTTTTTCTTATCTAAAGCCTTATCTTGTTTACACTCTACCTTCTAAATTGAAGAGGCAATATAATACAACCCCCCACTGCTAAATTTGACTGGCTTTAAAAAAAAATTTTTAAAAAGAAGAGGCATTATAGTATAACAGAAAGTGCACTGGCCTTCAAGTCAGAGGATCTGGGTCAGAGACCCTTCGTGTTGCACTTTGAGCAAAACACTTAACCAATCTTATTCTGTTTCTTGTTTTTAAAACTTTATAATCATATACTTGTTTTACCTTCTTTATGAAGTTGCCATAAGCATCAAAATGAGCTGAAAAATGTTACAAAATGCTTGATAAACTCTTAGTTAGATAAAAATGTGAGATAATAATAGAGATAATAACTTAGAAGTGTGTGCCAGAAAATGATAAAGCACGTAAAAGTTCAATTTGTTCTTTAAGATATTTGAAACAATGTTTACAAGTACTAAATTTAAAGACAGAAAACATTTTCATGGCATAATCTTTTCTCATTGGCTTAAACTATCAATAAAACTGCCACGTATCATGAACCTTGTCCTGCTTAACAATCAGTGTATCTAACATACACAGGCCTGATTTTTCCTGAAGGTAAAACCAGTAGAAAAAAAACCATGATATTTTCAGTGTTCTCCCTTGCATGAAAGATTCAACGTGAAAAAAAAAAAAAAAAAAAAAGATTCAACATGAGACAGTGGGTCAACTATAACAATCCAACGAGCAAACAGCAATGTTTCCCTAATCTATTTTTCATCAAACTACAGAAAGAATAAATATGTTCCTATGATAATATTCTAGATTTAATTAATCCATTTTGATGGAACAGAGGATAGGGAGTAGGAGAATGTTGAGGATTGATGATGTCTAAAATTAGTAAGATTTATATAAAAAGTAATGGAAGACTCTTTACTTTGAGGTCCATTCCTTCAAGATTACAAGGATTTCCAGAGAAAAATACTGCAAGGTAATGAGTGGCTGTCTCCACAGGACAATATTCTGCCTTTCTTCCCGATCCCTCCTCTTCTTTTCATTCATTGAAGAGGGGTCTGAAAAACAATAGTACAGAAGTTAAACCAGAATTTCTAACATTTATGCTCTTTCCAATCACTTTAAAAATTCATCTATCTTCCCATCCCACATCTGAAATACTGCATATAAATCTCAGAAGTATAAACAATGTTATTCACATCTGGGTCATCCAAGTTTAAACAGTTCAAGTACTAACCTGAGATCACCCCTTCCCTAGAGGAGGCGAGCTCTAGAACACAATTCTAATTACTGTGTTTGAAAACTTTAACAGAAAGCCAAGGATTGTGGTAGGTCCCCATAACTTAAGTCTCAACAGAATTTCATTTGTCTATGTATCTACCTACCTCCTCCCTTTCAATCGGTGGCAATCTTGCAGGATATTCTTTTAAGCAGTCTTGGAGAGGGATGGTACAATGTACAAGTGTTTAATACATACTGGATGAAAAGAGTTTTACCCATGTTGCAAATAACCATTAACAGCAAGTCCTAGAGTCTTTTTTTTTTTTTCTCTTTTTTTGTTTCTCAATGCTGCTGTGAGTCCTAGAGTCTTGAGAAATGACAACTAGTCCAGACTTAGCAACACCTAGTGGCTTAGAAAGACAATGAATTATAGTAGTTCCCCCCCTCTCATCTGTGTTTTTAGTTACCCATGGTCAATATGCAAACTGAAAATTTGTAAGTTTTAAATTGCATACTGTTCTGAGTAGCGTGATAAAATCTTGTGTTGTTCCACTCCATCCAGCCCAAGTTGTGAATCATGCCTTTGTCTAGCATATCCATGCTGTATACATTACCCCATTACTGTATAGGGAAAAACAGTGTATATAGTTTTCAGTACTACCTACAGTTTCAAGCATCCAATGAGGGTCGTGGAACATATGTACCACAGATAAGGGGGAACTACTGTTTAACGTAATAGTTGCCACTCCTTAATCAGTGAACTAGAGAACTGAGGCTAAAAAAGTGCTTACCCTTTGCCAACTCCCTGACCGGACAGATATGAGAATCTTTTGTAGAGAGTGTCCTAAAGAAATGGTACTGAAAATTTGAACAGTTGAATTTGGCAAGAACTATATAGATTTTAGGAAAATGAAATGTCTAGACCAGGTGCTTCTGCCCCAATCTTAACATTATTTTTTGCAATTATTTTACCATCAGAGCACAAGCTTCTACTCTTGTACATTACTGGACGAAGTCTAAGTTGGTTCACCTTCTATGAAGGGCATCATATAAACCTAACATCATATTATAGAGCAAGTGGTTTAGATCTCAAAATGTGGAGGCAAACTAGTTGGTTCCAAATCCTGGCTCTGCCATCTACCAGTCATGCAATCTTGGGCAAGTTAGTTAATGTTTCTGTGCCTCAGTTTTCTCTTCCATAGAATGGGGATAACAATAGTATTAATACTTACTTTCAGGGTCTCATTGTAAGGATTAAGTGAGTTAATACATATAAAGTTCTCTTTAACAATTATTTTGTAGCTATTAGATGCATCATAATTTCAAAAAAATATATATATGTATAAAGTTCTCAGAAGAGTTTGATACTTAGTAAGTACCTAATTAAGGTTAGCTATTATTGTCATCATCTATCAAAATTACACACACTTATATTGTAAGCCAATAATTTTATTTCTAGGAATGATTAGGTATAAGGTGAAATGACTTCTACATGTCAATTACTGCAGCATTATTTGTACTAGCAAAAGATTGTCAATAACTTAAATATTACCGACAGAGGCGTGATTAAAGTATGGTACACTCATACAATGGAATGGAACACTACAGAATAAGTTTTTCAGGTACAGTTATAACACAATCTCTAAGAAATATTAAGTACAAAACATATGGTACAAAAGAGTAAGTATGACATGCTAACATTAATTTTAACACACTGACTGCCATATGAGTTGTATTTAACTCAGGCTAGTTTTGAGCCTGGGGCCATGTGAAGCAAAACGCTGCAGTTGGTTTGTAAACATCTTACTTGTTGATGATCTTATTGTTACAATTAATATTGACAATTTAATTCTAAAAACATGGATTGGGTTGCATATAACTCACTCACAGAGAACAATAAAAAATAACAAATTAGAAAGGATCATTTTGTTTTAATAAAACACTGTGGCTTCAGGGAAAAATTTTTTTTCCCTAGTGCAATAGTCAATGTTATATTTCAATGGAGTGAACGTTGGAATAGAGTATGTAAATGTATGTGCTTGCTGAAAAGAAAGGAAAAATAGCACACAAAAGCTCCTAATGGGAACACACTGTGATGTATGATGCCCATCTCTGAATCCTGAAACTCTTAGTGAAACTACAAGATTTATCGACAATCAAGGTAACCCAAAAATCAGATCAGTGCTGGAAAATGTCCTCTGCAAGGAAATATAGTAATTAAAACAACCAAATGGAAACTACTATTTCAGATTGCTTGCACAATAGAAGAGAATTTCTATAACATTACCACGCTAGAGTATTATTTGCGATGTGTTCAAGAGGCCAAACAATTCAGAAGTTATGATAAAAAGAAAACCAGTACAATTACCAGAAAACAAAAACTTTTCATTTTCCTTTAAATGTACGAAAGAAAGTTCCTTAAATCATCCATATCAATAAAAGTCATCATTTTCAGTGTAAATGTATAAATAAGAGTCAAATATACTAAAATTTATCATGAATTCCAATTTGGTTAACATATAAGTTTATTCATCTCAAAATAAAATTTAAAAATAAATCTATAATAATCACATTCTAACTTTTTTGATAATTGTATATTTAAGAATAGCATAATAAGTAAATTTAAAACCTACTTTTAAAGTTACAAAATAGCATGATAAATTTGAGCACCGAGCAAAGCCAAATAAACACTTAGCACACCATAAGATAAACAAGTACTAATCTTGTACTTAGAACACTGCTTATGTGACTATTGACAGGCTGTTCATGCAATCACTGTGAAAAATCACCTGACCCATAATATGATTTACAATGATAATAGTAATAAGAGATAAAAAGTATTAGAATATATTTCTATTTTATTCCAATGAAAAGTATTAATGTATCACTTACACTCATAAATCTCCTCCCTCCAGACCACCACACTTTACCTGTGAAATTTCCATTATGTTGTTCCTTGTTCATTGCTACACGTCTCTGGTCACAGTTTTTTCCATTCTCTGCCATTTCATAGATCAGTAACTCTTGAGGAGCTAATGTAAACAAAATAAAATCCAGCAATACATTATATACTTCTGCTTTGCAGCTGTGACTGAATAAAACTTAATATAGGAATAACATGGCAGTAATATCCCATATGCTATGTAAAATGTATTTATACTTTATGTTTTCTTTCATAACCAAGATTTGGACAAGTTATGTAAAAATATAAAAGCCATGTAGTTGTAAATCTTTTTCAAATAATTATTCCAGTCATTTTCCAGATTAAAATTTGGAGGCATTTTGTCCACAGAAGAAGGATATCAAGTACTAGCATCTTCAAATATTGACATACAATAAGGCCTAAGGTCCTTCTAATTCATAATTTAATATCATACACATTGTCTACTCAAAATTTACCTTATCATTTTTACCTTTCTACCATTTTATCTTTCATATTCCTTTTAACATTATTAGGAAAAAAATGGATTATATTATCAAAGATGTTGCAAATGTTAACACACAGATCCAAGACCACGAATCAGTTTTATTTAGGAAACAATTCTACTGAATAAAATATGGGCATAGAAGGTAAAAATTTTAAATGTTTAAGATATATTAAATGTACTTTATTTATATCATGCTTCACATTACAGGTATAAATGTTTTTACTTTAAATCATCATTGTAATACAACATATAAATTGTGCTGACATAATTATTCTACACAAAACACCAGATTGCCTGTGATCAAAACACCAGATTGCCCCAGATTGCCTGGGTAGAAAGCAGTGGCGTCATAGTTGCTCACTACAACCTCAAACTCCTGAGTGAGCTCAAGCAACCCTCCTGCCTCAGCCTCCCAAGTAGCTGGGAATACAGGCGTATGCCACCTCGCTCCGCTAATTTTTAGTAGAGATGGGGTCTCACTCTTGCTCAGGCTGGTCTTGAACTCCTGACCTCAAGTGATCCTCCCGCCTCAGCCTCCCAGAGTGCTAGGATTATAAGCAGTGAGCCACTGTGCCCCGGCCTCTTCAGGTGTTAATAAAGCATCTTTCTATTCAAAAAGCACATCACTTCAAACAAAATTAAAACCTTTGTGCTTCAAAGGACATCATCAAGAAAGTGAAAAAACAGTCCACAGAATGAGAGAAAATACTTGCAAATTGTGTATTTCATAAGAAGCTTGTATCTAGAATATATAACAAACTCTTACAACTCAATAATAAACAGTAAATAATCCAATTTAAAAATGGACAGAGGATCTGCATAGATATTTCTCCAAAGATATATAAATGGCTAATAAGCACATGAAAAGATGTTCAGCATCTTTAGCCATCAAGGAAATGCAAATTAAACCACAGTGAGATACAACCTCATACCTATTAGGATGGCTATAATAAAAAAGACAGGGAATAACAAGTGTTGGCGAGGGTGTAGAGAAATCTGAATCCTTATACAGTGTTGGTGGAAACGTAAAATTCTGATGCTTTGGAAAACAATCTGTAATTTCCTCAAAACGTAAGCTATAGTTACCATATGACTCAGCCAATTCATGAATGTTCATAGTATTTTAATAGCATTGTTGTTAATAGCCAAAAGGTGGATACAACCCAAATGACAATGAATATAGAAAAATGGTATCCAAACATTGAAATATTACTCAGCCATAAAAAGATATAAAGTACCTACACATGCTACAGCTTCAATAAACTTTGAAAATATTACGCTAAGTGAAAGAAGTTATTCACAAAAGACCATATTATGATTCCCATTTATATGAAATGTCCAGGATAGGCATATCCATAATGCCAGAAAGTAAATTAGTAGATTAATTAGAGAGAATTGAGGTGTGGCTACAAATGAGTTGTGAGTTTCTTTTTGGGATGACAAAAATATTTTAAAATTGTGGTGATGGGCCGGGCGCGGTGGCTCACGCCTGTAATCCTAGCTCTCTGGGAGGCCGAGGTGGGCGGATTGTTTGAGCTCAGGAGCTCAAAACCAGCCTGAGCAAAAGTGAGACCCCGTCTCTACTAAAAAAAATAGAAAGAAATTAATCGGACAACTAAAAATACATAGAAAAAATTAGCCGGGCATGGTGGTGCATGCTTGTAGTCCCAGCTACTCAGGAGGCTGAGGCAGAAGGATTGTTTGAGCCCAGGAGTTTGAGGTTGCTGTGAGCTAGGCTGACGCCATGGCACGCACTCTAGCCCAGGCAAAAGAAACTTTGTCTAAAAAAAAAAAAAAAAAATTGTGGTGATGGTTGCATAGGTGTGAGTATACTAACAACCACCAGACTGTACAGTTTAAATAAGTGAATTATATGGCATGTGAGTTATGTCTGAATAAAGCTGCTTAAGAAAAAAGTCATCAGCAGAAACTATCAAAACCTCCAAATACGTTCACAGGAAAAGAATGGTATACTGTTTTACAAATCTCTTTCCTTTTCTCTATATTTAATAGTAGCCCCCAAGCTTAAGAGTATTCTTATGACCAAGTTTCTCAAATTTTTCTATTTTATGAGCTGATTTAGTGACAGTTCAGAATTCAAAGTCAGATTTATGAGTTAGGGGATTATATTATTAAGAAAGAAAACTTAAGAAATCACTTTTTAAGATGCTTGTATAAATTTGTTCACCTATTCAATTCAACAAATATTAACTGAGTGGCACAGCATCCTGCATGTACCAGAAATCATGTCAGATTTAATTTAGCTGAATAGAATATGATACGGTCATGGGTTCAATCTTCCTGTAGTTTCTTCATTGGTGCTATTTTATTCCTTGACTAAACTCCTAACTATAATAACTATTTGCAAAATTTATGCCTCATAAAGGAAAACAAGTGAAAGACTGAACAAAATGACTGAACAAAAAGCATACATTCATCACTGCAACAGATTCTTTTTTTAGATACAATCTATTGTAAACACCTTTGTTTTGTTGCCTTCATTTCTCAATGAGCAAATAAACATATGGTGAAATAAAGTATAGGTTTGCATTAGCATAGATAGCCTCAAGTAGATGATTATAAGATTTAAAGTCTGAAAATCTGGATTTGCATATCAGATTTGCCACTAACTAGTTATGTGATCTTGAGCAAGTTTTTCTCTCATTTTCTCTAGGCCTTGATTTCTGGATCTACAAAATGAGGACAATAATTGCCACTTTCAAAGGATATGTGGATGAAATAGTCTGTGTGCACATGTATATCTGTGTGTATGTGAGCGTGTGTAACTATAAATGCCAATACATCAAATGGGTAAGAGGTATATAAAGCATAAACCTACAAACAGCCTAAACTAGAAAAACAACTTCATAGCACATGCCTCACTGCTACCATATCGATGATGCTAGTGTTATTCATTCAACACTCATTTAAATAAGTATTGTGGTCTCTTAAAAGTAATGGAGACTGAGAGTATAAATATGAGTAAGATGAGGTCCTTGTCCTCAAGAGGGTAATAGTCTGGTAAACAAATCAATTAGAATAGAACAGAATGAAATAGGTATTTTAATAAAATTAGATGGCAAGAATGTTTTAATTTAGTGGGAAGAAAGCAGCTTTTAGAGTCTAATAGAATTGGGTTTAAACCCAATCTTCACAAGGAACTACTGTATGAATCTGGACAAGTTTGTAAATCTCTCGAAATATCAGTTTAATTTATAAAATAGGTAAAACATCAAACATACCAAAGGGTTATTATGAGGATCAAACAAGGTAATGTATGTAAAATATTAATACATTGCTTCATCTTTCCTGTGAACTCAATATATACTATCTATTAATATATTGAAGATGATGAGGGAGAAAGCACTATGGGAGTTCAGAGGACAACACATTCAGAAGAGTTCACAGAAGCTTAAAGTTTGATTCTGCAAACTTAAGCTATAGTTCTGCAAAGATGTAGTCAAAAGATAATGCAGCCCAAGCACTTAAAAAAGAACAAAGACGAAGTTATTTTGTGAAAATATGTAAGGCCAGAGCATCACAACAGGTTTACAAGATGGAAATCTATTCCACAAATCTGGATTTTATTAATAAAAAAATTGAATTAAGATGTTTGAAATGGAACCATATAAAAGAGTTAAAGATTTTCTACCTGCTAGTATTTAACTTGAGGCCATACTTAAGTTCTACAAATACTTAGAACTATGTGGGTTCAAATAGTTTGAACCATTTCAAACATAGTTCAGCCACTCACCTACATCATAATAAGTAAAATTTAATTAATTTGTGGTGAAAAGATAAACAAGGCACAAAAGCGCTTGCATTATGAAGGAAACATTCTAAAACCTTTCCACCCTCAAAATACTGATAATTGAACTCATCTACTCCTTCCCATAGTGCCATCTTCAAGAGATAAAAGAGTTTTATCCAAAACAACTTGGGTCCCTTTGAGTTCGTGCTTATAACAATGGTATTGCACAATTATTTAAAGGTTTTGTTTTTAAGATATTGCAACATGAATTTTCATTTGAGCAAATAATGTGTTCTTACACAATGTGCTTAAGAAGAACAGTCTCAAAAATTCTCTCTAGAAAACAAAAAATAAAAGTCTGGAATTTTGTTTTGTAAGAAATAACCCAGGCAACTAAGTTATTTGCTTGTAATCAGTTTATTTCTTCAAAAACAAAATAAATTAGCAGTTTTAAAACTTTTCAAAAACTTTTCCCATTCCCAAAAGAAAGAACTACAGCATAAAACCAAAGAAGCAAAGGAAAGAACCACTGGCGTTCTAAACAATTAAGCCTATAAAAGCATCAAAACTTTTCTGCATTTTAACCACTTTCAAAGGATCTTACATTATCCCTTGAAAATATGCTCAATTCTTTTGCCTCCTCTTCCCCCAATCACACATACTGCAAAACTGCAATGCCCCTGGAATAGCCTACATTCTTACAATCTGCCTGAGCAGCCAAACAACTGGAGAAAAACCACACAACTGCTTGGACACTTTAAATTCACTTATTGATTTAATAAATGTTTACCAAGTGTGCATCACGTGCCAGTTATTGCGATGCCAAATCTCAAACCTCAAATTGATGATTCCT